GCCGTGATCTGAACGTGGCTCTCTCACTCCAGCGCTGTCCTACCAGACAGTCTCGCTCCCTTCACCTGATGAAGGCCGCTTGTGTTGTGGCCGAAACGTCGTGAGAATATTATTGTGTTATTTTATTTTATCAATTTATTATTTTATTCTCATTCTACGTGACTTTACCGAAAGAACCAAAGAAGATGAATCATTGCAGTCACGAAAGCTTTAAATCGAAACCTCTACATATAATTCAATGTTGGGGTTTGTCTATGGCAGTGTATAGTCGTGTGATGTAGAAAAAAGTTTAGCTGGAGGTATATCAATATAATGCATAATGTTATAGCTTATATTGGGCTGTGTATACGATATTATACAGGAAAGTTTAGATTGGAAGGTATAATATTGTAATGTATAGTCGTCGAGTTTATAGCATACTGTAGTTGTAACACAGCACAGGACAGAGTAGCGCACCGTGGTTGTTTCTCTATATCTCCCCTCTCCTCCGTTCCGAGTATAGATGGACTCGTCCGTGCAATGTATAATGACTTATTGTTAGTAACTCAGCTTATTGAAGAGTATATTGAGTTTAATGATTATATTGATGTAGTTTTTATTTTAGTTTTTTATCAGTTTTCTATATAGTAGTCATTATGTAGTTTAGTATATACCCAGTTACTTAATGTGAATAGCTCAGCTTATTGGAGAGTATATTGAGTACATTGATTATATTGATGTAGTTTATATTTGTTTTTTTCACATTGGTTTATTTTATGGTAGTAGGGTATTTGCAGTTCTTTAGAAACTCCTTTTTGGTTCTCCACATAATGCACTAGCTTGATACGCGGTGGTTTGGGCTGCTGCAATTCTTTATTATAAAAAATTTCCCTCCCTTTATTACTGCTAAACCTACATAATACACTCGCATAATATGACTTTCAGAACCCCCACCGCCTACACATTCGACAAGGAGTGACTAAACCCATATCTGCATTTGTCATCAACATGCTAAATTCCTCTGTTGATGTGTAAACTCCTTTGTCAAGGCGTACTCCTCCTCCCACCCAGCTTAAAATACGCTGCCAAGCTTAGCAGTGTACATTAGGACGCTGTCTTTCCGACAGCTCTATTTCTATACCTGAGGACGGCTGCTTGCGCAGTGGCTGAAACGACGTGATAATTTTATTTAATTATGTATTATTAAATAATTTCCCTTCTACGTGACTTTACCTAAAGAACCAAGAATATGAATCCCTGCAGTCACGAAAGCTTTAAATCGAAACCTTATGATATCGTCGTCAAGCCATTCTCTGTTAGTCTTCCTCTCTTTCCGGTTCCTTCCATTTTTCCAAACAGCACACTTTTTATTTTCCTGCTGTTGTCCATCCTCCTACACACGTGTCTAAATTGTGCTAGTTTCTTTCTCATCACTTGCCTGCATGCATCAGGTCGTCTGCTGGCAACTTTCTCTCTCACAAAAGCGGCCAAATCTGTAACCCTAACACAAGCCACCGCCTGCACGACGTTTCGCCAGTAATTACAACTAGCGTCATTAGGCGGACAGCCAGAGTTGTGGAGTAATCCTCCTTCTACGTGTACTCGCATGCTACTTTGCAGCAAAAAAAGTCCTTTCGAAGCAGAGGATCCCAGGGGCGTTTATAAACTCTCGGTAACCACGGCCTCTCTGCATCGTGTTCTACTCCCCTTCCCACTGTGATCACGGCAAATATGATGGAATAACCATAAACAGTTAAGGTTTTACCTGTTTATGGTTGTTCCATCATATTTTCCGGGTACTCGTCTATTTTTCCGAGTTATTCCCCCCCCCCCCGCATCTGCAGCGTTTGGCATTGCTGCTGCATTGGCATTGTTGCTTCATTGGCATTGTTGCTGTATTGGCATTGTTGCTTCATTGGCATTGTTGCTGCATTGGCACTCGTGCACCGCCCGCGTTTCCGAGTTAACTTCCCCGCATTTCCAGCTCTCTCGGCCTCCCACTTCTAGCCCCGCCCACTTCTCCCCCGTCCAGCTTCACGTCCCTCTCCGAGCGTCCACGCGACGCTCCCCTACCCCCCCCTCTCTCTCCCCCCTTGCCCCTCCCCCCACTCTTACCTATATAACCTCTTACCACGGCATCTCTCTCCCATTTCATCAAAAAAAATTGCTGTGGTTTTCCCACCTGATGATGATTGCTTGTGTTGCAATCGAAACAGTGATTTGTTTCTATTTTATTTCTAACTACGTGACTTTACCAAAAGAACCAAAGAGTATGGATTCCTGCAGTCACAAAAGCTTCAAATCAAGATGATCACAGATAATCTGCCCGTTGCGCTAAACTGAAATGGGGACTTTTTCAAAGCAACAAAAAATAGTCGACAATTTTAACCTTAAGTTTTCTGAAGCTGGTGACCTTTTTGATCATGTATTGGGAGTCACTCCTGCTCATGCAATTTCCGACACCCCTGTCCAAACATTAAACGAATATAGTTTCCAGCCTATCCACGAAAGTCATGTTCCGAAACAACTGCTCTACCTCAAAGGGTCCTCCTCTACTGGAGCGGATAGTATTCCTGTCTTTGCTCTGCTAACTGTTGGTCACCTAATATACAAACCTATAGCCCATATTTTCAACCTGTCCATAAAAGAAGCATCAGTACCTCTAGAATGGAAACATTCCTATGTTCGTCCACTTCACGAAGGGGGCCCTAAAGATGATCCAAATAACTACCGACCTATCTCAATTTTGTCCCCGTTGAACAATTATTGAACTACCAAATTAGCAGTTTCCTGTCGACAACAATCTATTACATCTAAACCAATCTGGGTTCCGAAAAAAGTACAGCACCACATCTGCTGCATTAGACACTCTGAATCACATTTACAGTAGCCTTGATAATAAGCAGTACTGCGCCAGTCTTTTTCTTGACTTGTCCAAAACCTTTGATACAGTGGAGCACAACACCCTGCTTAGTATACTAAGTTGCCTCCGTTTCTCCAAACACGCAGTAGAATGGTTAAAAAACGTATCTCTCTTCTCGCACCCAAACTGTATTCACAGATGGATGGAGGTTAAACAATGTTAAGATAACAAAAGGGGTTCCACAGGGTTCCATCCTCAGCCCCCTCTTGTTCTCTCTTTATGTCAATGACTTAGGCACTGACCTGGATCATTCCAGGGTAAATCTGTTTGCAGATGACACGATACTGATTACTGCTGGCTGCTCTCCGGATGACATGATTGCTCAGCTCCAGGGTGATTTCAACAAACTACAGCATCAGCTAGTTGCTCTTAAACTAGTCTTGAATACCTCCAAAACCAAGGTGCTATGCTTCTCAGCAGGACTAAAGCAGGAAGTTATTTTTCCCCAATTATATTCCTTAAAAAATCATAAAATAGAGCAAGTCAAGATCTATAAGTATCTTGGGGTCATCATTGATTCAAAACTGAATTTTCAAGATCACATTGATTATATTGGTAAAAAGACAAAATATTTTTTTTGTATCGACACAATCACTGCTTCCCCCCCATGTTCCGCTTGGTATTGATGAAAGAACCATACTGCCTGTACTTGATTACTGTGACATCAGTCCCCAGTACTCTACTGAAAAAGCTTGACTCAATTTATCACTCGGCCTTAAGATTAACATCGAACTGCCCATATAGGACCTACCACTGCGATCTCTACATTGGGTTAAACTTAACTTCTCTTAATGATCGAAGGCTTGTGCATCAGATCTTATTTATTCACGATGTACTTACAAAAAAATCAGCAGACTACCCGTTGGATCTCCTCAGTGTTTCGAAGAACAAATGTGACCTAAGTTCTTCGCTCATTTGCCAGCTTCACATACCTTATTGCCGTACAAATACTGGAGGAAGGGCCTTTTCTCTTGATGCCCCTAGGGTCTGGACTGCTATCGCCAATAAAGTGCAACTTGGATCACTACCTGTGAGATCTTCACTCAAAACTGCTCTAGAGGAGTTGTCCACCCCTAGCTGCCACTGCTATTCAGAATGGCCTGAAATTAATTGTGTCATTCCAGATGACCGCTGCAAAGTATGATCTTGAGTTTTGATTATAGTGTGCTGATCTTCAAAGGTTTATTGAAATTTGTTTATTCTGCTACTGATACTCCTGCTGTTATGGAGTGACTCATGCAGTCAACTATGGCTGCAAAGTTTGGTCGTACATGTTATGTATATCGTTTATTGTTAAATTTTAATCACAGTTCCTATGATTTTATTTTGGTGATTTTGAAAACTTTTGATTTAGCCATGTTTGTTTGTTGGAGTACAGAGTTAGCCTGATAACTTGAATCTTCATTGACTTATGGTTGTTGTTGATTGACTTGAATCCCAGGCATCCCACTGTGATTTTTGCACATAGCGTTGAAATACGGTGTTTTTTTCTGGAAGACTTTGCTGTTTTTTCCAGGATATTTCTGTTGCGTGGAGTCACTTTAAGATGTTTCTTGTTCATGTTTTTGTTTTGTTGCGGTTGCACCTGAGTCAAGAGCCGCATGGCTCACAGGGTTATCTCCATATATAAAAGGAAAAGTTGTGATTATGTGTCTGTTCAAAATGTTTAGCGTACTTCCCGACATGCAACACACTTGAAATTTGCCATGTGGGTACTTTCCAGACTGTACACCATGCAAAGATTATAAAAATACACTTTTATGGGGGGGGGGGGGGGGGGGGGCTCAATAATGCATTTATTCTTTGCACGCAAGTGAGCTGTGACGTCAATTCTGTCACGTGACCCTCGCATGTGGAAGCGTAACGCATTGTAGTGTAGTGGTTAGTGCGCTGCGCTACGAACCCGGCGACCCGAGTTCGATTCCCGCTCACGGCCACCACCGGTGACGATTATTTTAACCGGTCCTGGGCCTCCCCTAGGTCGACTCAGCCTCAAACGAGTAACTTCTGTGGTGTGTGAACATCGTCACTGGGGAGACAAAGGCGGCCGGGCGTGGTGGATCCAAGTCCCGGGCGAAGCCGGGTAGTACAGCTCGTACCAAATAAATGAAACTGCAACCTCCTGTTTCAGGAGAACCAATTTTTGCGAATTAGCGAAAACTTTTATTATTCCCTTAACTTCAAAGGCCCGGGGTGACGTTGTATGTTGAGTCTGCTTGGTCGCTTCCGATTCCCATTCCAGTAAAACAAATACCACTGGTGGCTCATTAACGTTATTTACCCATTAATTCTTCCCATTACATTCATTATGTCCGGTTAAGCGGCCACGCCCAATCACTCCATATATGGGCAACGAATCGTTAACATAATTAATTCACACATCCGCGTTTGAGGCGGTGTGCTAGTGACGTCATGTCATCTCTACCGCTGCGTGCTTCCGTGTGACGTCACGAGATCCTAGGAGCTGCTTCTGTGCGCCCAACTCTCTAGGATCGGAGGTGAGAAGTTCACATCGTGATGTTGGTTGTTGTTGTTCACCCAGGTACAGCCTCGCTTCTTCCCTCTCTCTCTCTCGTAGTGATAGCAATTGAGTAGCGGCAAGTATGGAATCGATGTCCAGGTTGGAACGTTACTACGTGGGGCCGAGCCATGCAGGCCTTGCCTCCTGCCCTTGCCTGACTGACTTTGCTTTGATTCTCTTAAGTTTAATTTGTCTTCACCTGGCTGACTACTTCACCTCTCAGAGTCTCCATACTCTAGTTCAGGATCATCGAGTTTTTGCTTTGTTTTGCATTCGGGGGCGGCGATTTTTCTGCGCGTATTCCCGATTGAGTAATCTGCAGGCCGCTTGTCAACACGGGAATATTCGGACGATACCAGTCCAGACGTTTAATTTTAGTCGGAATGAGACGTCAAAGCATTACACAATTACACTCGCCCACCAACACGCCCTCCCACACGCTCCCACTCGTACACTTACCCACTGTTAGCGAGCATCGATGAAGGCCGGCACGGCACACGAAGGGGTGGGTGACCAGCACCACGCCCGGACTGCCTTTGTCTCCCGAGTGGCGATGTTTACACACCGCACCAGGTACTCATTTGAGGCCGAGTTGACCTAGGGGAGGCCTAGGACCAGTTCAGATATTTGTCACTCGTGTTGGCTGTCTTACTAAACAGGGTGACCGCTTCATTGGACCAGAATGGTGAACCTGGAATGCTGGATTGTTGACGCTTGCACGGCAGTGGGTTCAGCCTGCTTGGACAGTGCGTGGGCAAAACCTTCCCTGTCACTGAGAGGAGGCAGACTGACCAGTGGCTTCCACAATCGGTGTGAGAGCCCTTTCCCTTATACAGCCAAAGCTCGCTTAGCGCTCCTCCAGATGCTTTGTTCCTGGAGAATTGAGCGCCAATCGATCAGCGCTACAAGGGGTCATGAACCCATTGTATACGACATAGGGATGCGTTCCTGACAATGTTATATCTTTAGTATGAATAATATATGAGGGCTTCATTTGGGTATTGGTAATAGCGCTAATAAGAATACAGATGCTAAACATTTAATTAAAATCATGATTTATAACAAGTATTATGTACTATACTTACGAGTCCATTCTACTTTACTAATCCTACAAGTCAGTGGAGGGAGACAAGGTTGAAGGAGCTGCTGCGCTTCCAGTCCGGGTCATTCTCAGAGAAAGGCTTCAGGACCTCCCTGATCTTAGTGAAAGCCCTCAATCTAAATTTGTGTGGTGAGGTATCTTAGGTGGAGCCTGAGACTCTATCCTGGTCGTGTGAGTTCCCAACTGGCTAAACGAGTCGACGTTTTAAAAATATAATCATGACCACGAATCCGTGATCATTAAATCGCGGGGGGTGGGGTCTGGTTGGCTTAGAGCATGCGTCTCTCTCATTGGCCGAGCGAACAATGGGTCCGGGTGCGTGTGCTTGGCTAGCACGGCTGCGTGTTCCCACTCGTGAGCACTTTTTAAACTTAAAAAAAAATACAAACAAAAATATCCAGGACAAAGCGATGTAACAAATCGGCACTCTAAGGGTCGCACGAAGGTCTGCCTGTATGTTGTGTGTAATATCTTTGTATCTGCAGAATCAATCACATGGAGAAGAGAGGCTCGGCAAAGGCTGGACGTAAAAGGCACCAATGCATCCAGTGTCCATACAGCACAGATGAGATGTGTAACTTAAAGAGACATCAGACAAAACACACTGGCGAGAAGCCCTTCAAGTGCAGTGTGTGTGGGAAGTCATTTGCTCAATCGAAAACTCTTAAAATTCATCAGAGAACACACACAGGCGAGAAGCCCTTCAAGTGCAGTGTATGTGGTAAGGCATTTTCAGAGTCAGAATATCTTAAGAAACATAATACAACACACACGGGTGAGAAGCCCTTTAAGTGCACTGTGTGTGGCAAGACATTTGCTCGTTCACAAACTCTTAATATTCATCAGAGAACACACACCGGTGAGAAGCCCTTCAAGTGCACTGTGTGTGGGAAGGCATTTGCACATTCAAACATTCTTCGTGTTCATCGGCGAACACACACCGGTGAGAAGCCCTTCAAGTGCACTGTGTGTGGGAAGGCATTTGCTCGTTCAGTAACTCTTCATAATCATGAGAGAACACACACTGGTGAGAAGCCCTTCAAGTGTACTGTGTGTGGGAAGGCATTTGCACATTCAAATATTCTTCGTGTTCATCAGCGAACACACACCGGTGAGAAGCCGTTCAAGTGCACTGTGTGTGGGAATTCATTTGCTCATTCAAAAACTCTTAAAATTCATCAGAGAACACACACAGGCGAGAAGCCCTTCAAGTGCAGTGTATGTGGTAAGGCATTTGCAGAGTCGGCATATCTTAAGAAACATAATAGAACACATACGGGCGAGAAGCCCTTTAAGTGCACTGTGTGTGGGAAGGAATTTGCTCATTCAAAAACTTTTCGTGTTCATCAAAGAACACACCAAGTGCATAAGTCCTACAAGTACTTGGTGTATGGGAAGGCATTGGCTCATTCAAAATCTCTTAAGAAACATAAAACAACACATTCAGGTGAGAATCCTTTCAAGTGCACTGTCTGTGGGAAGGAGTTTACATTATCCGGAAACCTAAAGAGGCATGAGAAGATCCACAAGGAGAAAGTGAAATCGACTTGTGAAAGTCAACATGCTGCAATGAGCCCATCTCTCATGAAACGAGAATCAGAAGAAAATTCCAACTTGGCAACACAGCCAGAAGTGACAGTGAAATGTGAAGAAGTGAAATATGAAGAAGTGACGGTGAAATGTGAAGATCAAGATTCGACTCCAGGACGCAATCTACAAGTGGATGGAGGCAGCGTGAAGCAGGAGGAGCATTCGGATTCTGAGGGAGAGCGAGGCAATCCCCAGCAGTTTGTGGATGTGGAGGTGTGGGTGGAGTTTTTGGACAAAGCTGAGTAGGAGGGGCCAGCACGTGTGAAATGGCACCTTGGAAGATGTGTAACCTGGAGTTTGAGACAATTTTCCATAGCATTCGCCTTATTCACAGGCTTCTGTCATTTCAAGAATGCCTAGGGGTTTAGTGTCATCCAAGCATAGATGGGCTTTCTGTACAGATGAAGTTATTGAGTGTCGAAGTGAAATAGTGGATATGCAAAGCATTATGCTGCCTTATAAAACACGAATTAGGAATGCATTTTGATGGTTACATATTAAATGAATAAGTATGAATTATAACTCTTTGCATTACTATTGAAGTAGTCAGGTGTGGCCGTGCGTTTCTGTATGCTCCCAATCTGTTTTTATTGCTTTTTAAATGCCATTTAATAAAAGAAAAGGTAAGCATTTTTTTTATGTTTACATTTGGCTTAATACACTAAATATATGTTCATAATATCAAAACAACTTAATGTCAGGCCTACTTTCTGCACTTGTTTTGCTTTTAATCCCTTTGGGTTTCATTTAATGGTAACAGCAGGGGTCTGCAAGTCTACTGTACATCCCACCTGATGGCTATGCACGCACCCTGCATAGTGTTGTTATTGTGGTTTATAGTGCAGTGTTGTGTCAAGTGTGCAGTGCATAGTAAATACTAGTATATGGTAAATTTTGTGATGTGTGGTGAAATGTGTGTATGTATGGTGATGTATATTGTGTACAGTGCATAGTGTAAGAAGCCGGCTTAGGCTTTTCATGTGACGAATCGCACGCAATGTATCATTTCACGCAGTCGCGAGTTGCAGTCCAAAGGTTTCGAATTAGAGTAGAGTTGTGCATCTTGACGCTGCATGCCACTTGCAGTGAGGCGTATTGTACGCCATGCAGTTGCTGTAGCTGGTGTGAGCTTACCTGTGATGAATCGCACGTGTAATTGTGCACTCTACAATGTGTCTATAATTGCTACGTAGAGCCAGGTGCTGGTGTATTTTTTATACGTGAAGGTAATGTTCAGAGCATGCCATGCCCAACAGTGTGTCGACTATTCAAAGTACAGGGAACACCCCCATTTCAGATTTGAGGTGGACTGGTGAGATTAAATTATTCAAATAGAAAATCAAATTTAAGTTAAATTAATATATTAATTTTGATTTAACGCTTTCGTGACTGCAGGGATTCATATTCTTGGTTCTTTCGGTAAAGTCACGTAGAAGGGAAACAAAATAATTTAAATATAAACAATACAATTCTCACGACGTTTCGACTGCAACACAAGCAATCATCATCAGGTGTGAAAACCACAGCAAGAAAATTCAATATTTCAATGTTAATCGAAATCCATTGACTAGGTAATGTTTGACTGTTGATTGAGTTATTGGTTGATATATATTTAAATTTTAAAATGAGTTATAATTGGGTCTAGAAAATGAACACTGGTGCTAAATCCCATCAAGAGGTACTGTGTGAAGTGGAGGGTGATAGGTTTGTGTCTGGTAATATTTACAGGTAGGATACGGTCACTTATTTCCAATTTTATTGTGTTTGCCGTTTTTTCGCGGTAAGTTTAATACTAAAATTTCGCCGACCTAAGGCTGCCTTACTCTAGTACCGACGGAGGGCTTCCTGGTACTTGGCGTCTTGCCCATTGCCCCCACTAATGTCCTCTTCTCCCCCCCCCCCCATTTGTGCAGATACTACTGCGTTTAAAACAGCCTTCCGCAACCAATATCCATAATACAGGTTTCTTGGGTTAGATCGCGTAAATGTGTCGTTAAACCAGCCACCAACCGACACAGCCAATTAGTAAGGGCTGTCACGTGAACAGAACATTCCAAGTCGTGACGAGTACAGCAAAATGTTGGACAGCCAAGCCACAACATTTACTGAGTACGATGTTTTGCCAGTAATTACAACTAGCTTCATCAGGCAACAGCCAGATTTGTGGAGAAGCCCACCTCTTTCTTTCCTTAGAGGGGTCGATGTGATTGCAACACTAGTGTGCTCTTCACGCGCGAAGTGCAAAGTGGGGGGGTGGGGGGGGCACATTTACCGACATTTGGGAGGGGGGGAGGGTGTATGGCAATTTTTCTAAACCGGTTGTATCAACCTTTTTCCCCCACTGCGGGTGGAGGCAGGGCTCCACTTTGTATAACTTTTTGATTCAGGCCTTCTGACAGACGCTCATAATTTAGTTGGCAAACGGAGTGCCGGGCTTTCATATATATTTACAGGTGTTAATAACTTGCTTATTTTGATAACCAACTCGAATCAATAGATATAGCATAATAGGAAGACGATTAGGATGCTTTAGTGATGAAAACAGTTTTGTGATAGTTGATTACATTTAGTACTTCAATAGTAACTGACAATGGTTATTGTCAGTTAAATATCCTACATTTACATATTACTATCATTTAACGTATTGCTTTATTAATTATTGAAGTGCATATTGTTTCATTAATGCAATATTATTATGGAATTGTAGCACATTTAGGAGGCACTACAGATATTTTAGACATATTTTTGATGTGGAATATTTACATTTGTATGGTTAAATAAGATGTTAACTGTTCTTGGATTTGAAAAGCGGCTGTTATAATTTATATTTCCAATAGATTCCGTGCTGAGGGACTGCTCTGAGGTGGTGTGACGTGGAAGGTGATAGGGATATGTTTGGTCATGATTGCGGATATGCAAATGCTCCTCCGAAGAACACTTTTAAATAAAGCATTTCCGTTTCACAAACCTCTGGTGCCCATCTATAGTGGAGTCGCCCACTTCTCAGGAGGACAAAACAATGCAGAGTATCTGCTATTCTTCTCTTGAGCTTCATTGTTGATTTGGCCGACCTATCCCTCGTTACGATTCACGGGAGGAAGACAGGATGGGCCGGCTACACATGGAATTTCTCAAGTTTATGTACCATGCTAGGTGTACTTTTAAGGCCACGTGAAATGTCAAAGGCCCTCTGGCAGATCACGGAACAGACTTATCTGCCATGGATTGACTGAGATGACTGGCAGACTCGCCACCTGTGCTCCCCACTGTGCCACATTGCTGCTTTTGATCTGCCCTGCTTTCCGCTTGTTATTGTGAACATTGCTTCTCTGCCCTTTATTGCTGTGTCAAGGAGCGTCCTTCATAAACCTCCTCCATAGGAGCCCATCTTGACACCTCTGGAACCAGTCATCGGCAAGTCCACTCGGCTCCAGTGGTGACTTGGTCATGAACTAAATCACCAGAGGCAAGACTCCAGGCACTGAAGTATACGTGAAGGGGCGTAAACCGCTATTTGCTTGAGTTGCGATACCTTTAACTTCATACACCAGAATCCCAGATGATGAGACAAACAGCTTCTGGATGGACTGGGCACAAACCACAGTGGGCATGTTGTATATGTGGGTTATGAAAATTTGATAAAAATCATGAAAATTAAACGAAATTTGAAATCTGCATAATTTATCCGAAATTGTCAATTTGTGTATAAATTATGCTAATTTGATAATCGTATTAATTTATGCGAGTGGGTGTGGTTATGTTAATGACAGCCTTTATGATAATCAGGCCCCGCCTCGTTGACGAGGATCGGTTATCGGTATAATGCAATTAATCGTATGCAGTTATGCAGTTGCTGTGAGCATGTCAAATTAGACTCGGCTTCGCTGTTAACTTCGTATTATCGATCAGTATAATACAATTATTCTTGCTTTAACATTTATTGAGTGGATTAGTGTGTTACGTTTTAGGTCACCAAGTTCATATCTCATCGCAAAATCAGTTATGCATAAATCATAGGAAAGAAACACACAACACTTCTGCATTAATTTTATTTTCTAACTAAACTTTAACTCTAAAAGATGCAACTCTCGGCTTGGAATTTGCACAGTATCAACAAAGTATCATCACAACTGCGATTTTTCACTTTGATAACAGCACATTGATTCATTCCTCCCCCGCGCAACGCGAGCAGTAGGTGAGAGAGAGAGTTAAAAACATGCACATTCTAGTCTAACAAAAACCTTAATGCTCTATTATGAATGATTATACTAGTAGATACTGCTATATAGAGTTAGTCGATACTAAAAGTCAGTATATACCACTACGAGTAAATACTAATATACAATCAGTAGCTACGACTGGCTCAGTAGATACTACTGTAGTCAGTAGATACAACTATAAAGTCAATAGATACTACTTACTCTGTATGTCGGGTGTGTAGGTATGTATACCTACACAGGGATAAATGTTTTTTGAGGGGCGGGGTCGACAATCTTCGGAAACATTTTAGATCAACTATTTACCACCCACTTTATTACTTTTTGGACTTGTGCAAGGCTCTTATAATTTTGTAGGTGGAGAAATGGACAAACGGCCCACTGGGCTTTCACAATACCTTAGTATCTGTGTATATATGTGTAAGGTTTTTAAGAGAAGTTTTGAAATATATTTTTCGCCCGGGCAACGCCGGGTACTTCCTGCTAGTATATGAATAGAAAAGATGGATCAAGAGAATAATGAGCTGCTGGATGAACTTGAAAAATATCCCCACCACCAAGGGATGATGCTCCCTGGATCTGCTTGAGCTGCACCTTAACGCAACCCCAGTTCATCTAATCTCTTGGTTGGTGCCTCAGTATTAACCACCATCTCATTGTCCTACCACACCTGCCCGTCTTGGCTTGTGATAAGTTTGCTGTGCTCTACAACTAGCTTGTCTAAGTTAAGCTCATCTCATCACCTAATTGGCATGACAGGATTACCACCTGCATGTTCTGGCTCATGACTAGCCTGCACCCAGCTTGCCCGAGCTGAAGCTCAGCTATTTCATCGTCCAGTTGATGCGGCGGTATTACTATTACTGCCTGTCCAACTAGCCACTGCACCTGTCCATCTCGTCCCATCACGTGCCCAGTGGTTTGTGCCCAGTGGTTTGTGCCCAGTCCATCCAGAAGCTGTTTGTCTCATCATCTGGGCTTCTGGTGTATGAAGTTGGTAAAGGTATCGCAACTCAAGCAAATAGCGGTTTACGCCCCTTCACCACGTATAATTCAGTGCCTGGAGTCTTGCCTCTGGTGATTTAGTTCATGACCAAGTCACCACTGGAGCCGAGTGGACTTGCCGATGACTGGTTCCAGAGGTGTCAAAATGGGCTCCTATGGAGGAGGTTCATTAAGGACGCTCCTTGGCACTTTAGAGGTAGTCACCCTCCAGCAACAAAGGGCAGAGAAGCAACGCTCACAATAACCAGCGGAGAGCAGGCCAGATAAAACGCAGCAATGTGGCACAGTGGGGAGCACAGGTGGTGAGTCTGCCAGTCATCTAAATCAATCCATGGCACCTGGGTCTGTTCCGTGATCTGCCAGAGGGCCATTTGACATTTCATATGGCCTTAAAAGTGCACCTAGCATGGTACATAATCGTGATGGCTTTCATTATGCTAATGAAAGCCATCACGATAATTAGGCCCCGCCTCGCTGACGAGGGTAGTATTATCAATCGGGATCACACCATTAGTTGTATGAAGTTATGCTGGTGTGATGTAAGTATGCTAGCTTCGTTGTCTATGTTCGTATTATCACTCGGTATAATACAATTATTCTCGCTTTAACATTTACTGATTATGTATTAGTGTGTTTGTCAGGTCTCCATCTCGATACAGTTCTTATAATTAAGATTATGCATGAACTCATGAAAGAAACACTTCTGTGTTCAGCAATTTTAATTTCTAAACAAAACCTTAACACTCTAATATGCAATTCTCATGCCTGGAATTACCCCCGGTACCATCGAGAATTTCCCTCAGTGAGCAGTACATTTTACCATCAATGGTTGCGTTGTTTCACTTTGGCAACCACACATATGATTAATTCCACCGCGTAATACGAGCTTAGTTGGTGATAGGGAGAGGTTTTAAAACAGGCATGCAGCTATATTCTAAACAAAACCTTAACACTACAATATGCGAATTCTTATGCTTGAAATTGTCAACAGTACTCCAGGAGATGTTCCCCTCATTAATCCATACATTTAACCCTCAATGATCACGTTGTTAATTTGGTAACAGAACAAACGATTACTTCAGAGTAACACGAGCATATACGGCAAATAGGAATAAAAGTCCTTTAAAAAAACATGCGACAATATTCATACGAAAGGCAATAAAAGCAATTATTATACTCCAAAGGCAAAAGTATACGTCAATAGATTCATCGGCAAGATTATGCAATTAAAAATAAAGAGAAAAAAATAATTATTAACGACTAAAATACTTCTAAATGACCGTATCCACGTAACTCAATGGGCAGCAATGTTCTTCACGATCAGTTGATATTTAATGCACTACCTTGGAATGACAACCCTTCTTAAATTGCCCTGATATGCGTATTGTGTGTCTTTGTAAAGCAGACGCCGGGTGATAAGTGGTGAGGGTATGAATGTGGGGGAAGGGTCATACAAACTGCTTCGTTCTCTCTCTTGCTCGGGGCGTCGGCTTAGCTGTCCGTCCGCTGGCAGGTACAGGCTCTCTTCACTGCTGGAGGGGCTGCGTCGCACGCGCCCTCTCCTTGAAGATGCTCGATCGCGCTCGCCGCTGGTCCGCTGGCACTCTTGCTCACGGGCGGCTGGTCAGGCTCTTTCCCCTGCTGGATGAGCCGAGTCGGCACCACGCTTGTCCGCTGGCAGCTGGCACCTTTGCTCGGTGGAGCTGCTTGCGCTGCAGCTGGGAGCTGGCACTCGATGTAGAATAAAACTCTTTTAGCGATACTTCGTCTTTCAGCTCTGAACTCGCACTCAGTGACATCGCTACTCTGCAAGCCTCGCCATCCTCGGTTGAATGCGGGGCCCACCCCGGAGCCTGCCGCTCGCCGCCCTTTTCTGTCGCTCGCCGAGCTCTCCCTTGTCGAGCTCAATTGTCGAGATGTGTTGCTGTTTATATCCGAAAAATCTCCCCTCGGCGCGTCTCTTGCGAGAGGAAAAAAAATACAGATGCTTACCCCGTTCCTCTCTCACAAAGGACCGGATTCCTTTGATCTCGCTCTGCATTGTGGGTGTGGGGGTACGTGTGTCCGTGTGTGTGTTATTTATTAAGTAATATTTTCATCCGTGGGTGCACAGATGGCTCCCCCTGCAATAACAGTCATTTCCCTCGCTCTGGTGTTACATTCTTGCTATCCCGTGCTGCGGGAAGACAAAGACGGCCGGGATGATCATTTCCTATGAAACAGTCTATCTTGGCTGTGTAAGCCCGACCCATTTTGCCTCATCTCTTCTGGACAACCCTCGGTTTAACACTGCACAATTATCATCTTGGCTCACGTTTCCCAAGATTTGTGATTTAACATTGTCATCATTAGAAGTTACCTCCGGTATTTCAAGGGTTTTTATTAACTTTTGCTCCCCGTCTGATTCCAGGGATCCGTGCTGTTATGCTTGAGTTATTATTTATTTTATTTTTGATGTCCTGAGTTTGAGGTAAGTTTCCTGACTGTTGGAATTCATATTCCTTGGTTTTTGTAAGGTCATGTAAAGGCAAGATGTAATGTAATTTAAGGTGAATAACGTTAGTGTTAATATGGAATTATTATTTTCGTTTATGTTTCCAGAGATTATTCCTATGTCAGCTTATTCTTGTTGTTGAGTTTTTCTTGGACTTTGTTAATTAAAAATAACCAAATCCTGTCTATCCGGTTTTCGCCGCCCTGGAAGCTGTGAGGCTTTGAGGAATTTCCCCCCCCCCCCCCCTCTTTGTTTTATTACTTTTTATTGCTTATCTCTGGGCGGCCTGTTGTGTGTGAGGGGAGGGGGTTGTATCCCCCCTTTTGCCCCGGAGTGTATTATTTAATGGCCTTTTACGACCTCCAGCTGCTTAGTGCTGGAGGTAGCAGGTTTGAGGGTGTTTATTTATTTAACGATTATTTTAAAAAATCGGCAAAATCATTAATATCAATTTCAAAAATGAAAAAAGGCCTATATACAACAATAACTACACTATGCAAGGTGCGTGCATAGCCATCAGGTGGGATGTAGAGTAGACTTGAAGACCCCTGCTGTTACCATCATATAAAATGAAAAAAAGTAACATCAGGCTAAGGCCAATTAAATGAAACCCAAGGGGATTAAAAGCGAAACAAGTGCAGAAAGTAGGCATGACAGTAAATTATTTTGATATCATGAAAATATATTTAGTGTATGAAGCCAAAAGTAAATATTACAAAAATGGTTACCTTTTATTTTCTTAAAGGGCATTTAAAAAGCAATAAAAAAACAGATTGGGAGCATGCATAAAAGCATGGCCACACCTGACAGCCACTTGAACAGCGATGCCCAACAGTTACAATTCATACTTATTAATTTAATATGTAACCATCAAAATACATTCCTATTTAGTGTTTTATAAGGCAGCATAATGCTTTGCATATCCAATATTTCACTTCGACACTCAATAACTTAATATGCACAGAAAGCCCATCTCTGCTTGGATGACACTAAATCCTATGCATTCTTGAAATGACAGAAGCCTGTGAATAAGGCGAATGCTATGGAAAATCGTCTCCAGCTCCAGGTTACACATCTTCCAAGGTGCCATTTCACACGTGCTGGCCCCTCCTACTCAGCTTTGTCCAAAAACTCCACCCACACCTCCACATCGACAAACTGCTGGGGATTGCCTCGCTCTCCTTCAGAATCGGAATGCTCCTCCTGCTTCACGCTGCCTCCATTCACTTGTAGATTGGGTCCTGGAGTCGAATCTTGATCTTGACATTTCACCGTCACTTCTTCACGTTTCACTTCTTCACATTTCACTGTCACTCCTGGCTGTGTTGCCAAGTTGGAATTTTCTTCTGATTCTCGTTTCATGAGAGATAGGCTCATTGCAGCATGTTGACTTTCACAAGTAGATTTCACATTCTCCTTGTGGATCTTCTCATGCCTCTTTAGATTTCCTGATAATGTAAACTTCTTCCCACAGACAGTGCAGTTGAAATTATTCTCACCTGATTGTGTTGTCTTGTGTTTCTTAAGAGATTTTGAATGAGCCAATGCCTTCCCATACACCAGGCACTTGAAGGGCTTCTCGCCTGTGTGTGTTCTCTGATGAATTTTAAGAGTATTTGAATGAGGGAATGACTTCCCACACACAGTGCACTTGAAGGGCTTCTCGCCTGTGTGTGTTCTCTGATGAATATGAAGAGTTTCTGAACGAGCAAATGCCTTGCCACACACAGTGCACTTGAAGGGCTTCTCGCCTGTGTGTGTTCTCTGATGAATATGAAGAGTTTCTGAACGAGCAAATGACTTCCCACACACAGTGCACTTGAAGGGCTCCTCACCGGTGTGAATTCTCTGATGAATGTGAAGCGTTAATGGTTGAGCAAATGCCTTCCCACACACACTGCACTTGAATGGCTTCTCGCCTGTGTGTGTTCTCTGATGAATATGAAGAGTTTCTGAACGAGCAAATGCCTTGCCACACACAGTGCACTTGAAGGGCTTCTCGCCTGTGTGTGTTCTCTGATGAATTTTAAGAGTTTTTGATTGAGCAAATGACTTCCCACACACAGTGCACTTGAAGGGCTTCTCGCCTGTGTGTGTTCTCTGATGAATTTTAAGAGCATTTGAATGAGGAAATGCCTTAACACACACAGTGCACTTGAAGGGCTTCTCACCGGTGTGTGTTCTCTGATGAATATGAAGAGTTTGTGAACGAGCAAATGACTTCCCACACACACTGCACTTGAAGGGCTTCTCGCCCGTGTGTGTTCTATTATGTTTCTTAAGAGATTCTGACTCTGAAAATGCCTTACCACATACACTGCACTTGAAGGGCTTCTCACCTGTGTGTGTTCTCTGATGAATTGTAAGAGTTTCTGATTGAGCAAATGACTTCCCACACACACTGCACTTGAAGGGCTTCTCGCCCGTGTGTGTTCTATTATGTTTCTTAAGAGATTCTGACAATGAAAATGCCTTACCACATACACTGCACTTGAAGGGCTTCTCGCCTGTGTGTGTTCTCTGATGAATATGAAGAGTTTGTGAACGAGCAAATGACTTCCCACACACACTGCACTTGAAGGGCTTCTCGCCCGTGTGTGTTCTATTATGTTTCTTAAGAGATTCTGACTCTGAAAATGCCTTACCACATACACTGCACTTGAAGGGCTTCTCGCCTGTGTGTGTTCTCTGATGAATATGAAGAGTTTGTGAACGAGCAAATGACTTCCCACACACACTGCACTTGAAGGGCTTCTCGCCCGTGTGTGTTCTATTATGTTTCTTAAGAGATTCTGACTCTGAAAATGCGTTACCACATACACTGCACTTAAAGGGCTTCTCGCCAGCGTGTTTTGTCTGATGTCTCTTCAAGTTACCCATCTCATCTGTGCTGTATGGACACTGGATGCATTGGTGTCTTTTACTTCCAGCCTTTGCCGAGCCTCTCTTCTCCATGTGATTGATTCTGCAGACACATACATATTACACACAATATACAGGCAGACCTTGCTTAGTGCAACCCTTAGAGTGCCGATTTGTTACAGCGCTCTTTGTCCTGGATATTTTTGTTTGTAATTTTTTTAAAGTTTACAAAGTGCTCACGAGTGAGGACATGCAGCAGCGCTAGCCAAGCACACGTACCCAGCCCCATTGTTCGCTCGACCAATAAGAGCGACGCATGCTCTTAAGCCAACCAGACCCCACCCCCCGCGATTTTATGATCACGATTCGTGGTCATGATTATATTTTTAAAACATTGACTCGTTTAGCCAGTTGAGAACGCACACGACCAGGATAGAGTCTCAGGCTCCACCTAAAAAAACTTCGCCACACAAATTTAGATTGAGGGCTTTCACTAAGATCAGGGAGGTCCTGATGCCTTTCTCTTAGAATGACCCAGACTGGAAGCGCAGCAGCTCCTTCAACCTTGTCTCCCTCCACTGACTTGTAGGATTAGTAAAGTAGAATGCACTCGTATGTATACTACATAATACTGATGTTAGAAATCATTATTTTTTATTAAATAATGTTTAGCTTCTGTATTGTTATTAGCACTATTAGCGATACTCCAACGAATCCCTTAATATTATTCATACTTAAGAAGTAACATTGTCAGGAACGCATCCCTATGTAGTATACAATGGGTTTATGATGACCCTGTGTAGCTCTGATCGATTGACCCTCAATTATCTAGGAACAATGCATCTGGAGGAGCGCGAAGCGAGCTTTGGGTGTAAAGTACAAGGGCTCTCACACCGAATTGGAAGCCACTGGTCAGTCTGCCTCCTCTCTCAGTGACAGGGAAGGTTTTGCCCACGCACTGTCCAAGCAGGCTGAACCCACTGCCGTGAAAACGTCACCAATCCAGCATTCCAGGTTCACCACTCTAGCCAAATGAAGCGGTCACCCTGGTTAGTAAGACAGAGTCGATAGATATAATTAAGTCCGTCTTGAAAACTCACCTCGTTAAACTTTGTCTTTGTGTGTGTGTGGGCGAGTGTGTGTGTGGGCGGTAGCGTATCGGTTAGCGCGCTGTGCTATGAACCCGGCGACCCGGGTTCGATTTCCCCTCAAAGCCAACACGAGTGACAAATATCTGAACTGGTCCTAGGCCTCCCCTAGGTCAACTCGGCCTCAAATGAGTACCTAGTGCGGTGTGTAAACATCGCCACTCGGGAGACAAAGGCAGTCCGGGGGTGGTGCTGGTCACCCACCCCTTCGTGTGCCCTGCCGGCCTTCATAGATGCTCGCTAACAGTGGGTGAGTGTTTAAGTGTTCGAATGGGAGCGTGTGGGTGAGCGTGTTGGTGGGCGAGTGTAATTGTGTAATGCTTTGATGTCTCATTCCGACTAAAATTAAACGTCTGGACTGGTATCGTCCGAATATTCCCGTGTTGACAAGCGGCCTGCAGATTACTCAATCGGGAATACGCGCAGAAGCATCGCCCCCCTCCCCCTCCCCCGAATGCCAAAACAAAAACTCGATGATCCTGAACTAGAGTATGGAGACTCTGAGAGGTGAAGTAGTCAGCCAGATGAAGACGAATTAAACTTAAGAGAATCAAAACAAAGTCAGTCAGGCAAGGGCAGGAGGCAAGGCCTGCATGGCTCGGCCCCACGTAGTAACGTTCCAACCTGGACATCGATTCCATACTTGCCGCTACTCAATTGCTATCGCTACTAGAGAGAGGGAGGGAAGAAGCGAGGCTGTACCTGGGTGAACATCAACAACAACCAACATCACGATGTGAACTTCTCACCTCCGATCTTGGAGAAACAGCTCCTGCGATCTCGTGACGTCACACGGAGGCGCGCGGCGGGGGAGATGACATGACGTCACTAGTATCCATCGCCTCCCCCCAAGTCACCGGAAATGTGTATGAATAAATTCTGTAAACGAGACGTGCCCATATATGGAATGATTGGACGTGGCAGCTGATCCGCACATAATGACCCCGCGACATAATTAATGCGTAATTTACGTTGATGAGCCGCCACTGGTATTTGTTTTACTGGAATGGAAATCGGAAGCGACCAAGCAGACTAAACGTCATGTCTGCTTGTTCAGACGTGGAGTTTCCTTGATGACATGACGTCAATAGCGGGGTACACCTCCCCCTGGGAGGTCTCGCCCCGATGACGTCACGCGGAGGGGTGACGTCAGAGGCGGCGAGTTGTGATGAGGGGAGCGGTGGGGCTGCGGTTAGCGCTGCCCTACGAACCCGCCGTCCCTAGTTCGATTCCTGCTCACGGCTGACACCGGCGACGATTATCTGAATCGGTCACGGGCCTCCCCTAAGGTCGACTCAGCTTCAAATGAGTGCGATGTGCAAATATCGCCACTGGGGAGACAAAGGCGGCCGGGCGTGGTGCTGGCCACCCACCCCCTCGTGTACCGTGCCGGCCTTCATAGGCGCCTGCCAACAGTACTTGCCCCAACAGTCTGTTATTGCTATCGGGGGAAAATCTTAATCTTTGGATTTGTGTACACAATAGCATGTATTTAGATGCTTTCTTAGTGTGCATTAATATATCGTTATTTATTGTTTAACGTCTTTCTTAGCAGTCTGTTGGACACGCGTAATTTTTCCTTTCGTGTTTTCGTGTACGTTTGAGTCAACATATGCCCGTGTAGAGTATTTGTGTAGAGGCGTTATTTCCGCACTCCCCATGTTGTCAGCGGGTAGCATCACTATCGGGTCAACAGGGGGCGGAAGAGAGGCCAAAGGGGGCCAACGGTGATCTCCGGGATAACGGATCCTGCGACGCAATCCACAAACCCCGGGTGGGGGGATTGGGGGCTGACGTCACCCTTCCAGAACTTGGTGGAAGGTTCTGGAAGGAAGGCGGGGCCGGGGCGGAGGAAGCCCCGAACCGGGATATGTCGGACCTCTGAACGATAGAGAGTCAGTCTCTTCCACTCCGAAGACCCGGGCTGAAGCTAGGACCCTGGACCCCAAGCTCCCCCGTCCTTCTAAGGCCGGAGCTCAGTGAGGCCAGTGGTCAGGACCCGACGACCCGGGCACAGTCGGGTCAGCATAGCCTCCCCTAGGGCCCCAGCCAGAGGTCGGGGAATTAGCAGGGTCCCCAGTGTTAGGACAGTGTAGCCCGGAGGCCATACCTCCCAAGGTATTGGGTAAAGGAGCCGCTACCCTTTTGTGTTAGGGACCCTGTGGAAAACAGTAATAAATATTGTGTTGCCTCAACTGGTGTCTCCCCTGGTTTCTGACCCATTACATTTGTATTACAGGGAGTCCCCGATTTACCTCGGGGTTAGGGATCGAGACGTTGCGACTTATAACGAAACGATGTATAGCGGGGGGACTTTCCCCAATAGGAATACATGAAAATGGGGGTGGGGGATATGGACCGGAAGAGTTTGAACATGGCTTATGCGATGCAGAGCAGGGAAATTTCTCCCATAAGAAACGATGAATTTAGGTAGGGATAGCGACCGCAATTTAGAGAAATATTTTGCTTCATAACTAGTAACCAAAAAACGTACTTCACATATACAGAAAACCAGGTACTGTGCAACACAATGCACACATACAGTAAGGGAAAAAGTATTTGATCCCCTGCTGATTTTGTACGTTTGTCCACTGACAAAGAAATGATCAGTCTATAATTTTAATGGTAGGTTTATTTGAACAGTGAGAGACAGAATAACAACAAAAAAATCCAGAAAAAAGCATGTCAAAAATGTTATGAATTGATTTGCATTTTATTGAGGGAAATAAGTATTTGACCCCTCTGCAAAACATGACTTAGTACTTGGTGGCAAAACCCTTGTTGGCAATCAAAGAGGTCAGACGTTTCTTGTAATTGGCCTCCAGGTTTGCACACATCTCAGGAGGGATTTTGTCCCACTCCTCTATGCAGATCTTCTCCAAGTCATTAAGGTTTCGAGGCTGACGTTTGGCAACTCGAACCTTCAGCTCGCTCCACAGATTTTCTATGGGTTTAAGGTCTGGAGACTGGCTAGGCCACTCCAGGACCTTAATGTGCTTCTTCTTGAGCCACTCCTTTGTTTCCTTGGCTGTGTGTTTTGGGTCATTTGTCATGCTGGAATACCCATTCACGACCCATTTTCAATGCCCTGGCTGAGGGGAGGAGGTTCTCACACAAGATTTGACGGTACATGGCCCCGTCCATTGTCCCTTTGATGCGGTGAAGTTGTCCTGTCCCCTTAGCAGAAAAACACCCCCAAAGCGTAATGTTTCCACCTCCATGTTTGACGGTGGGGATGGTGTTCTTGGGGTCATAGGCAGCATTCCTCCTTCTCCAAACACGGCGAGTTGAGTTGATGCCAGAGCTCCATTTTGGTCTCATCTGATCAAACACTTTCACCCAGTTGTCCTCTGAATCATTCAGATGTTCATTGGCAAACTTCAGACGGGCATGAATATGTGCTTTCTTGAGCAGGGGGACCTTGCAGGCGCTGCAGGATTTCAGTTCTTCACGGCGTAGTGTGTTAGCAATTGTTTACTTGGTGACTATGGTCCCAGCTGCCTTGAGATCATTGACAAGATCCTCCCGTGTAGTTCTGGGCTGATTCTTCACCGTTCTCATGATCATTGCCACTCCACGAGGTGAGATCTTGCATGGAGCCCCAGGCCGAGGGAGATTGACAGTTCTTTTCTGTTTCTTCCATTTGCGAATAATCGCACCTACTGTTGTAACCTTCTCACCAAGCTGCTTGGCAATGGCCTTGTAGCCCATTCCAGCCTTGTGTAGGTCTACAATCTTGTCCCTGACATCCTTGGAGAGCTCTTTCGTCTTGGCCATGGTGGAGACTTTTGAATCTCATTTATTGATTGCTTCTGTGGACAGGTGTCTTTTATACAGGTGTAGAGGTGTTAACTCCGCGCTGTTGCGTAACCTGCATTGCCACCAGGGCAGTGCAGCATTACCCCTGGGTACAACGGTTGGGGTCAGTCGAGGTGAAATGGATCGTAGCCAGGGTTTGGTACGAACCAATCAGACGGTTCCACGTGGGAATGTATGATTGGTTCTTCCTGGCCACGAAGGAGTATAAGACGGGTGACCCAACGGACCTCGGGGAGTTCTCTCCTTAGACAAAGACAGAAGACTGGGCTGGAGCGTAGCTAGGACCCTGGACCAGCCTTCCAGTCCTTCTAAGGGCTAGGGCTTGGCATACCCAGTGGTCAGGACCCACCGGGCCAGCGGTGGGTCAGATAGCCTCCCCTAGGTCCTAGCCAGAGGACTAGGATAGCGGTAGCCGTGTGAGTCCCGCCAAGTCCGGAGGCTGTACCTCCTTAGGTATCAAGGAGGTTAGCGGTAGACGTGTGAGTCCCGCCAAGTCCGGAGGTTGTACCTCCCTAGGGTATCGGGTGAGGGGACCGTATATCCCTCTGTGTGTGTTAAGCATTGTATAAGGAAATAATACAATAAACAGAGTGTGCCTCCTAAGAAGTCTGCTCGTCCTTACAACACTACAATTTGTGTCAGAAGTGGGGTGAAAATGGAAACAAGAAGTTCAGCCCACGCGCGGAGCCAGAACGAAGATAACGCTATCTCACCTGTTAGCACCACCAGCTCCGCTGAAAATGCTGCCGCGTTGACGGCCGCCCAGCCACCGGTTGAGCAGCCGGTCGCTCCTCCTGCCATGGGGGACGGACTCAGGGCAGCACACGGCCGTCTCGTCCAACTCCTACACGCCGCGGCCTCCATTCTCGAAGAGATCAACTTGGAGGTCGCGGGCAGGCCGAGTCAACCGCCGGCAGACGTTCCCGCCATCGGCCAAGGCAGACATTTAGATTTTCCCGCCGGGGAACCACGTGATCCCGCCGGAAGCAGAAGCCAGGGGCATCCTGGGAACGCGGGGGGGCAATCACAACCCACAATGTTATCAGCACGCGACGCTGAAAATTAAAGTTCCTCAGTGGACGCCGCGTTATCACTGTACCGACACGGTACAGTAGACGCTGTCGGCCGGGAAATCACCGATCTCCGTCTCGAGACGCTGCCAGCTCAGGAGGAGACAACGTTCGCCCTCCAACAACGCCTGCCCATCTTCCGGGAATCCGCATCTGAAGGGGGTGACTGGGCGGCGTTCCAGCGTCGCTTCCTGAGCCACCAAGAGATGGTGGGCTGGTCGGACGCACAAGTGCTCCGAGCGCTACCGGCCACTTTGGACGACGATGCTCTCGCCTCGCTCCTCACCATCCCCAGGCAACAAAGGGCGACTCTTCAATCGGCCCTCCGATGGATGTCCGACGTCTACAGGCCTCCATCCGACGTCCGCAGCCGATTTTACGACAGGCGACGCTGCCCTAAAGAGTCTCTGCTGGCATTCCAGACCGCTCTACTGGCGATGGCAAGAGCGGGTTACCCCCGCATGGACGACGAGGCCATCAATGCCATCCTTCTCCAGAAGATGCTGGAGCTGGCACGTGAGCTGCGCATCGTCATCCAAGCAGTGGACGACGACAGTATGTGCTTGCTATGAGCCGCTCTGAGCATCCACGCACATCTGCTGCTCCACACGGAATCGACCATCGCCGCCTCGGCTTTGACGTCGGAGCCTGCCAGCAGGGACGCCGAGTTCTCCCCCGACCGGGCCTTCATGGCGACCAGGTCAACGGGCCGGCGATCGTCTGACCACGCTGGTCGCCGCAACGACCAGCAGCGGAGACGGCCTCCTCCACGCGGCGACATAACGTGCTTCAACTGTGGCTGACGAGGTCACATCTCCTCCGACTGCCGTGCGCCTCGACGACGCCCCTCCGCATCCCAGGGCCAGGACTACAGAACGTCCACGGCATCGCGGCAAAACCGGGCAAGTTGCGACGCCTCTCACGCTCGGCCCTCATTCACACCATACACACCGCACTGCACCATAAGAAAGGCTCGCGAATTGGCGTGTGATGGGGGGTGTTCTGGCGATTCTTCACGGCCACTCGGACCTGGGCAGTGGTCTGAGTTGGCCCATAGCGTAGTCGCGGCGATGGCAGGTTCGTCCGTGGTTGTCGGATCAATTGAGGGTGTGGAATTTCGCGTGTTGGTCGATACTGGTGCGTCGGCTACGATCATTTCGGATTTGATTTACAATATAC